CTAAAAATCACGATGCGTGGACCGGAGCTTAAGAACTCAAAATATTCTACCGGCATCAAGGCTTGCCAGAGGGACACATTCGTCTTTGTTGCATTTCACCCAGTTGTAAATAATTACATGTGCATGTGGACAATTAACATGATTAGTGTTAGAAAATGTAGCCATTTGCCAATCCACTGCTGAAAGAAAGCTGAATGGAATGACTGATTTAGGTATTACTTGTCACTGATGTTAACCGTGACTGTTCTCGGCAGGCAGTATGCACAGCTCCCCCATGTGCTTACGGGTTGCACCCACGTGTTGTACCGTATGATGCCCAACTGAAATTTAGTTTCAAAAGCAGCCACTGGCACGTGCATTTGACAGGCCATGTCCTGGAGGTGGCGACATGTCTCTACTATGTAGTCGAGTATTTTTTTTTACAAAATCTGCCCACTCCCTTTCCATGCAATGGTTGTGTTGTGCCCTCTGCTGACCAAACTTGGATAGATGCTCGCAGCTGCCTCAACGGCGGAGACTTCTAAACTAAAACTAAACTATTTTTCATTTTACCAGGAAAGGCCACTGAGCTTTGAGCTTTTGTTTCACAAGCGACAAATGATAACTCGACGAAGTGGCTTATCGTGTGGAAATTTATAGCAACCAAATACTCTAAACGCAGGATGTTTATAAACGTGGAGAGGAAAAACCCGGAGGACTCGAAGAAAAATGCACGCGACAACGGAAAGATCACGCAAACTCCAAATATACAGCAGGCGTCAGGGTCGGTATTGAACCCACGACCTCCTGCATACCAAGCGAGTGAGTTAACATATCGCCATTCATTATTCATGGGCAGGGGAAAACACGAAGTCGTAGACGGGCGAGGTCCGTATTTCACGTCAACCTGTCTCCTCTATTCGCTAGACAATGGCTTCACACGCTTGCAGGACCAATGTTGGCTGCCACGTCTGAGGTGCAAAAAAACCGGGACCAATCATCGGAAGAAGAATATCTCACAATCCCGAAAGAGGGACAGAGCTTCATGAAAATCCATTGTCTTGAGTTGGGTAATATTACTCAATGGATGAGAACTCGGGGCTTTCAATGACCCGGCAAGATATACAGATTTGCCAGGAATGCCACCTTCAAAAAAAGAGGACAATGCTGGGAAAATCAAGAAAAGGTGGCAATCCTACAGCTCACATGGCTCAGAAAACGGGCCAGTGTCTCACCCATCAAACGTGGCACCGCCCGTTTCCGGCTCGAGGATTTTGACTCTAAATTGTCAATGTTACACAGCCAAAGAGAGACATCTCTCCGCTGCCCTGTCATAGGTCATCGTTCACTTTTCTACGAGCGAGGACGACAAAACGAAGGACAAGGACCACTTAACTGATCCCTCCGCGAGATGGGTGGTGGGTGAGAGCAGGGGTGGCTACATTGCACAAATGACGTTGGTGGAATCAAGGCAGTGAATAAGAAAAAAAACGCAACATTGAAAAGGGTCAAACTCAACTGTGAGGTCCAACGAGAGCCCCACGATCGTCAGTCAAGCCACACGCTCCTCTGGACATCCTAACAGCCCCCAAAAACATTTCCTGGGTTTCCAATAAGTATGAGAAATAACTCAGCTTATTCCAACTAATAAGTTGTCCAACTTATTGAAATACAAAACCTGATGGACGCGTACATTTTGTAATTGTTTGTCGAATTTTTTTTAAAACTTACTTTCATTCAAATAAATGCCACTTACTCGAACAAAGAGGTGAACTGAAGAAGACCCGGTAAGTGTCCGTGCGACTTTACCACGATCGGACTGCAGGTGGCAACACTCGTCTCAATTACAAGCGCAGCGCTTCAAAATGCCGCGGTTCCATTTCTGGCAATGCTGTGGAGCAGCCACAACGAGCTCTCAACGCGATCGCTAACCGTCATGCGGGCTCGGCTCTTTCCACGCTCTTTCAAAGAGGCCCTTCAAAACTCCACGACGTGTGATCATTCTGGAGTGATAATGGTGCAAAAAAACTGGCATGGAGGCGTTCGAGCTGAAACCGCGCCCGGTCTCAGGATTCATCTGCAGCGCCTCTCTCTTTTCTCACCACCAGTCGACGAACCGCATAGTCCCTTTGTTCTGGTTTTCAGTCGAAATCATTTGCTTCTTTGCAAAGAGCAGACAGCGTTGTTGACTTTTGACTGATTTAAATTCAGATACATTCATCCTGTATCTCCAGCGCGCGTGTGGGGAGCGGTGGCGCAGTGGTTAGCGAAATGCGCTACGAACTCGGCAACCCAGGTTCCATTCCCAATCACGGCAAACACCAGTGACGATTATCTGAACCGGTCCCGCGCCTCCCCTAGGTCGACTCAGCCTCAAATGAATACCTGGTAGAATGTGTAAACATTGCCACTAGGGAGTCAAAGGCGGTCGGGTGTGGTGCTGGCCATTGTGTGCCGTGCCGGCCTTCATAGGTGCTCGCTAACAGCACTTGCCCCAACAGTCTGTTAAAGCGATACGGGGGATCTTTGTCTTTGAGATATTGCGCAAGCGTCGGATCTGAAACGTCGACGTTCCACACTTCAGATTCAGGTCGAGATTCATACTCTTCAATTCGTTTGCGTTTTTTTTTTGCTTAAACTCTTTGTTTTAAAACACCTTGCTGACAATCCTGCACGGCCCTGTACCGTGGCGTTGTTTAAAGCGGCGGGGGGGGGGGGCATTCAAAAACTGAGGTGATAAACACATTTTAAACAAATGTTAAACACCAAACCGAATGAGTAAAGATATAATGTAAGATAAAGCAACGAAAAGTCATCATTTTGTCGGTGCTGTTGTGGATTTGAGTTCAGAGTTCTGCAGCCTTGAATGGAAAATGGCCTAACAGACAAGCTCACCTTATTATTGGTTTGTGGCCCAAGACTCCCTTTAAAAGGATGCTTTTGGACAAAACGGACTCTCATCTGGTTTATATAAAATATGAGAAAGGCCACGTGTGTGTGGACATCCTCAGACATGTCGTGGATCACACCCTACACTAAAAACCAAGCCATCTAAGTTTGATTCCCAGCCACGGCTAACATCACTAGCACATGATATCTCAACCTGTGCCGGGGGCCCTCCCCGAGGTTGACTCGGTATCAAATGATAACCTTGTGCGGTGTGTAAACACCAGCAGTGGGGAAAGACAAAGATGGCGGGGCTTGGTGCTGGCCACACCGTTCCCTTTGTGCGACAATCCAGCCGTCACAAATTCTCACGAACTCCACTTGCTTCAAAAGTCTGTGCCGGCTACACGGTGGGGGATCTCTGCCCTATGTAGGTACGCGTGTGAGCGTGCGAGAACGAACTTGAACACAGCAATGCGCTCGGACGTCCGCGAATAGAGGAGGGAAATGTGTGAGCGTGAGAAAGGGTGTGGGTTCGTGTCAGAGCATGTGAGAGTGGCAGTTAAAGTGTGGGATTTTGCATGAACATGTGGGTGGCAGTCAGAGCAAGCAAAGGGTGTGTGTGAAGTCTCAAAGAGCATGAACGTGCGTGTGTGTGTATGTGTGTGGGAGAGTGGTGTGTGGGGAAGCGGTAGTGCAGTGGTTAGCTGCGCTACGAACCTGGCGAACCGAGTTTGATTCCTGTTCACGGTCAACACCAGTGACGATTATCTGAACCGGTCCTGGGTCTCCCCTAGGTCAACTCAGCCTCAAATCAGTACCTGGTGCGGTGTGTAAACATCGCCACTAGGGAGACAAAGACGGCCGGGCGTGGTGCTGACCACCCACCCCCTCGTGTACCGTGCCGGCCTTCATAGGTGCCCACTAACAGCACTTGCCCCAACAGTCTGTTAAGGCTATACGGGAGATCTTTGTTTTGTGTGTGCGGGAACCCCTGGTAATAATGTGCAGGGGCGTGCGGGAGAGTGTTAGCGCTTAGGGGCGTGCGTTAGAATGCGTGAGAGAGAATGGGAGCAAGTGTGAGCGTGTGGGTATCGACAAGAACCTGGAAGGCTAAAGGAGTGCGTGGGAGGCGAGGGGAGTGTATGAGAACGCGTGGGAGTGTAAATGAACGCACGCTTCCGCGTGGCAGCGTACGGAGGTATTAGCGAGTAGATAATGTACACTGTTCACTCGGAGGAACTTGACAAAAAAGTTAACCAACGAGATGTGAAAAATCCGCAGAGGCATTCCAACAAGTTCACACAGGGGTCATGGTGAGGTCTGGCCACGGTAAAATCCCTATGTCGCATTAGCTCTACCACAATGTGAAAGTGTGTACATACGAGACTACATGAATCATGTGGCACCAGTGGTCATATGTGGGAGTGCATGTTGCAGGGTGGTGCAGTGTTAATTTACTACTAAAATGAGCCAAGAATGTCTGTGTGTCACGCACGTGACGTCACTCCACGTCGGCCAGCCCACCTCATTAATAATCATGAACAGGTGCCGTCCTCCACTTTGGACCGCCCCCCCCCCCCCTCGTTAATAATCATGAGCAGGTGACGTCACTCCACATGAGGGGGCGAGGCGCCTCCTCCCCCCTCCTCAGCGAGTTGAGTATGTGGAGTATGTGTATGTGTAATACTCAACTCGTATTACACATAGCAACATCGCCCCTTACTGCAAAATCTGGGCAGGACCTTCCTGGAAATCACTTGATACACAGTGAGGCTTTCTTGGGTAAACAAGAGTAACAGTAAAAAATGTGTCCATGTCGGACCATGGGAAAACACGGGAGGGCATGTAGGTAGAGCTTGTGGGCGCACGGGAGCTTGTCGGGAGACGAGCGATTGTTTGCAGGCGTGTGCATGAACAGCCCATCGCCTTGCACGCGTCTGTGTGCGCGCGTGCGTGCGTGTGTGCGCAGACAGACAGACAGACGCATGTCCACACGTGGGACCACACGGCTTGACCCGCGAACCTTCCCATGGGAATGCCGGAGTGCGTGAAGATGTGTTCGAGCGAGCGTGAGCACAGAGACGGCGCAAGCTCGTGCGGGTGTGCGTGCACGCGTGCGTGCATTTTCAAACCTGCTCTGTCGGCGGTGCGCCCTCGTCCCGGATTAAGAGCAGGAGGCTTTGGCCATCTGCCACCATCTCCTTCTTGAAGCGTCCCCCTGCACACGCAGAAGCGACCAGCGGCCTTAAAACGTAGTGCCGGCATTGAGCTTGCTGTGCAGGCGGCTCCGAGCGCCAGTCGCCCGCCTTAAAGGAAGATGAAGCCCGGAGCAAGGCACACAAACAGCCGATCTTCTTGCAATAATATGACTTAAATAAACTTCTGTCTCGAGAAATGAAAACGAAATAAAAATTTGTCTCTTCAAGGAGGCAAACTCTGGACCAGTTTCGATTTTATAGATATCATTATCAGAGTCAAATCCTGCTGGATTGCTAAGTTATTGGCAAGTGTATTCCTTCAAAATGGGGCTCTGCCAGCAGATAAATCAATATCATACATAACCTGTCAACGGTTCTAAGTGGGATACGTTTTTTTTCTAGGCAATAGAATTATAAATGCGTCCTATCAATTTCCTGAATTAATTTTAATGCAACAGCACCTCTTCAAGCAAAAGAGAAAAAACTGGAAACCCAATGCACCTGAAAAGTGGAATGACCATTCCATGCATGAAGAGGAGCGATTTTCTAGTTCACCGTAGCAACCCACACGACAAACACACCACCCGCACCACGCGTCAACAGCTGCACCATTTACAAGCGGGTGGAAACTCACAATCGCTAATAGCTGCTCGGCACAGCCAGCTATGGCCGTACATAATTGATAGCGGCAATAAGAGGGCCATGTCACCTCGCATAAGCATCGAGCCCTGCAGGGGTCGCACGGAAGAGTGCAGTGGGAAGGCGGGGGGGGCAGGCAGGCAGGCGTTCGCTAACCCGCACCTCCCCTACAAACCCACTCAGAATGCGCCTTGCTGAAGGACCTGATCCCCACTACGCCACAATCTCCCCACCCCCCCGCTCCCCCACTGCCCCCTGAAGACGGCAGGAGGCCGCTTTAAGCGCCACGCCGCCACCCAGCCGACCCACTAACCCATTAACCAGGCGCACGCGCACGCGCTCCATCCTCTCTCCGCTGGGGGCCGTGATGCCGCCGTGCCAAATTCGGGGAGACGGGAGCCTCGAGTGAGCCACGGCTGATTTGTACGCTGCTCCATTTGCATCAGGCAGCCCGGTGGCTTCGTTTTCTAGCATTTTTTGGCGTCTTTGTTGCAGTCCAACAAAAATGTGACTGTCTTTTAAAAAGGAAAAAATATGATATTACCAAGGTGAAAAACTAGTTCCGCGTGTATTTTCTTCACAGCGAGAAGGAAGCACGCGAGGTTGGAAATGTACTAACTCGTTGCACGTACGCTGTGTGCACGCCGTCTCGCCTTCGTGCATCGCTGGAGGTCGTCGACGTTTATCGCGGGCGGGAAAACGGCGCGATCGCGGAGGGGGGGATGGGACGAAGCCTCGTGTACGCTGTTGGCGGAAAACTTCTCTGATAATCAACGTTTTGTGGGTGCTTTCTGAGACGGGAGAGAGGGTGGTAAAAGAGGAGCATGCGGCCACATGCTTGGATGTAAAACTGAATTTTGTTTTCCTTTTATCAACTCCGCTGTTGGCGGAAAACTTCTCTGATAATCAACGTTTTGTGGGTGCTTTCTGAGACGGGAGAGAGGGTGGTAAAAGAGGAGCATGCGGCCACATGCTTGGATGTAAAACTGAATTTTGTTTTCCTTTTATCAACTCCAAAGTAATTCGCGTCCACGATTCCGTTCAGGAAACGAGTTTTAAATAAGCTAGCATCATTGCGATAAAAACTGCACAAATCCTTTCAAGAAGGTTGTGCCGGTTTGTATGTACGTTGAACTTCCTTCGCACCGTACGCAGCCAACCGCCCCTAATCGGAGGTGCAGGGAGATCGGAGGTGCACGAATTCACATGAGCGTCGCTTGGCAGGGCGAGAACAAGCCCCGTCGTGTCGCGCCGCCAGCTCGAGGAAGAGGAGAAGGGGGGAGGGGGCTGCGTGAGGCTTCCGAGCTCCGCTGGGGGACTCGTGGGAGTGAGATTCGCGTGGAGCTAAAACCAATGCACAGAGTCAGACAACCTTCGGAAGGCTCAGCACCTGTCCACTGAACGAACCCCGAACCCCCGGTCGCTGTCCAAACACCGCCGAGTAAACAATTAACCTCAACACTAAAACTAGAACCCAAACACTTCCCCTAAACCTTATGTCATCTTAAGCCTCAAACCGAACGCCACCCCTGCACCCTACATCATCTTAAGCCTCAACCCAAGCATTACCCCATAAACCCTAATCCAAGCATCATGTTGAATCCTAAACAAAACACCTTCCACCACCTTCAGCCTCAATGCACGCACTACCTTTAAACCCCTATAGCCTCCATCACCCTAAACCATAAACAAACCCTACACCTTAATCCCCACCCACACCACCCTACCCTCCAACCCAAAGCCACCCAACTGCGAAGGCCACAAAGCTCCTGTGACCTACGGGCACAGCACCGGCGCCGTAGCCGACACTACCACGAGCAGCAGCGCCCGCCCGGCGCTCACCTTCCGGAGACTCCTCCCGCACGTACGCGCCTGTCAGAAAGCGATGCACCAGCGCTGACTTGCCACAGCCAAGGTTTCCCACAATCCCCTGCAGGAGGGCGGCAGTCAGGCGCAGGGAATGGGGGTGTGGGGTTTGGGTTAACAATAACGAACGAAGAAAAAAAACAGACAACCGGTCTGCCGTCTCGTGCATCTTGAGCCGTGAAACACGGGGCAGCAATCATCATGTGAACGTGGGCCAGCCAGGGACACCAACGTCAGGACCACATTTTGACACGGATTCCATTTTCCAGCGATGTGTGATTGCTCCACTAGAGGCTGGAACAGGGCTCCTGCATCAACAGCCTGCAGGCAGATTTAACGAGCTACCCTGTGTGCATAATGAATAAATATACTCCCCATTACTTTACGTATATTACGTTATATGTAGCATATGCATTACATCTACCATCACTTTGGGTGCGGGTTAACGTACGGAATCACGGTACGTGAAAACGGAAACGGTAAACCGCAAACTGTCCGAGTCGCCGCAGTCGCGCTGACAAGTTAATCAGCGGGCGACATAAGCGGACGGATGGCTGGTGCCTGCTGGTTAATAATCGCGCTGCCGTTCACCGCGGTGTCGCCACGGAGGACGCACGCCCAGGATAGCGGGAAATCCGAACAGAAAGGGGCGCCATGGTGGTGAGATGTTAACTACTTCACCTGTTATGCAGGAGGTCGTGGGTTCCCCATCCTAACGCCTGCATATTTGGAGTTTACCGGTAAATCTCTCTATCCCTGTTGGTCGCGTGGATTTCTCTCCGGGTCCTCCGGTTTTTCCCCTCCACATTTAGAATCAACGTGCGTTCAGAGTATTTGGCCGCTATAAATGTCCACGTGATATCTTGTTGAGTTATCGTTTGTGGCCAGGTCGCTTCTGAAAAAAAGCTACATAGCTTAGTGGGCCTTACCTGGTAAAATAAAAAAAAATTGTTTAGTTTTAGTTTGAAAGCATCTGCTGACTACACGAGGGCCGTTCGGGGGGGGGGGGCGGGGGGGGCCCTCGTGAGTGCGTCCGTCACGAGGCGATGGGACAGATGGTAGTGGTGGTGGGGGGGGGGGGGGGGGGCGGCTCACCACATGCAACTCCGGCACGCCACGGCACAGGGTCCACTCCTGGCTGTTTACGAACGAGTCTGGAAGACAAAACAATGGGAGGCAAAACAGGGTGAGTGGCGGGAATCGCGGGTTAGTTCACCTGCTCCAAAACAAGGTGAGCCCACCTGCTCCGAGCCCCCCCCCCCAACGCTTCAGGCCACGACTTGTAAACTGTCACGATACAGGGGTCACGTTTCGATTCAACATTCATTGCTTTTCGTTGTTGTCTTGTTTTCGCTGTCGAGTTTGCATTGCTTCGTCGCTTTTTGTAGGGCTCCCACGCATGTTGTGCGTGCATGTGTGTACTTGTCGGGGCCTGCACTAAATGAATACCTGGTGCAGTGTGTAAACATCAGCACTGGGGAGACAAAGACAGCCGGGCGTAAATGCTGGCCAACACCACCCAACCGCCTAGGTTTTAACATTTGCATGCAATTTACATATTATTCAAAATGTACAGTAAATAAACGCTGCTTACACGCACAGCATAGGAATCAATGTTAGCCAGCGAATCGTTACATGGTCATGCTAAACCCACGCAAGAGTGTCACGAGCAAGCCGTCAAATACAAACGCTCCAAAGATCCGCCAGTATAGCCTGAACAGACTCTCGGGGCAAGTGCTGTTGTTAGCGAGCACCTATGAAGGCCGGCACGGCACACGAGGGGGTGGGTGGCCAGCACCACGTGATGCACACATGTGCAGTGCTCACAGAAGGCCTGTGGGTCAGCCAGATGGACACTGAAGAGTGCATTTAACATTTTAACCAAATAATTCATTGGCATTGTCCTTCTCCAGATGTTCACACATTATTCACAATTTCACTTGGAAGGAGGCTTACACACGAACCGGCAGCAATGATGGTGCAATACAAAATCCATACGCAAACGCACAACATAAAAATGTTCAAATACATTCCTCAATTTTATCTTGATTTAGCCATCTGTGTCGTGCCATGCGACAAAGTATCCATTCAGATCTCTCGCACAGCTGTGCAACCCTTCGTGTTGGACAATGGCCCACGGAAGCAGACATCATAGAGATACCTCTGCGATCCCTTTGAGTGACCTCGGTTCCACAAGGCAGGGCGCAGCACTATCCCGCTCGCTCTGCCACCGAGAGTAATGCTCGTCGCCTGACGAACAAATTTGAGGATATATAATTTTTTCTAAAGTAACACATAACGGGGTTAGAGGAGCGGATGGCTATGTTGCAGGACTTGCCCGAAAAACTGCAGGTGCGGCTGACAGAGGCGAGGGGGCCGCCCGTGATCCTGGGGGAAGGTGTTGTTTGTACAGCACCCACGTGCGCATTTTCACACCAATCAGCCACTTTTGCGGCAACGGCGCGACCACCGGAGGGCTTCAGCAACTTCACCAGGCCCTCTCCGCTCACCGGCTCACGTGGCGCTCATCCATTGTTTATCCCTCCCACACTGCTCCTGGCTTTCCAAACAGCCAGGCTGCCCTCGTCTTAACGACAGCAAATAGGCAAACAAGCCCAGGCCATTATTCCCCAAAGGTAGCAAATCGTTGTCGCTCTAGACACATAAATACATTACTGCCCTCCCCCCATCCCAGATGTTCATCGCAAGGGGGCGGGGGGGGGGCATAGCCGTGCTCGTCCCCCCCCCCCGCCTCTTGGGTCTGTCACATGGAAGCCGACGTTACGACCCAGCGACCTCGCCAATAACCTTGGAAAAGCAGCCTGCTCGCCGCAAACTCGCAACGCCGGCGCCACACCCGGGCGCCGCGACATGTGGACACCACGCACCGATCACCCCGCCCCCGAGCGCAATGTTCACTTAACGTGCGGGAAAGTAGAGGCCCTTTCGCAAGTCATTCATTTTAGATGAACAGGTTTAAAGAAAGCATCATAGACAAAGATCCCCATGAAGCCTGGGTCAAGTGATGGGACCTCACGAGGGGTGTCTTGGCCAGCACCACACCTGGCTGGCTTGGTTGTGATTCCACGCTGAGCCAAGTACTAATTTGAGGGCCGAGTCAACTTTTGGGAGCCCAAGACATGTTAGCCGCAGTTGACGTTAGCTGTGGCTGGGAATCGAACCCAGGTTCCCGGGTTCGTAGTGCAATGTGATGAGTACTACGCTACACCTCTTATACCACCCCCCACGCGTGCCGTGCCATTCTTAATAAGTGTTCGTGAGTCGCACTTTCCCCAAACAATCTGTATGGCTATAGAGGGGACCTCTGCCTTTGTTACATGCTCCACACGCAAACTATACGGAGTAAAAATAAAAATATTATGTTCACTATAAAAGAATGCAATGCAAACATGTAAATACAATGAATACATAAATATTACATGTATTAGCGATATTTAACAAGATATCATTAAAATAAAAAAACACAAATGCAAAAATGATCTGATATTTCCAATGTAAGGGTCCCAAGCTTAATTTTTTATTGCTCGACGGGGTAATGCTGACTTATAATAACTGCATTACTGCAAATTGTTACATGCATTGAAAAACACATTAAACAGAGTAACGGAGGGTTAATACCCACATTATTATTTTTTGCAGCACACACGCACTCAAAAGCCAACAATCACTACACAAAGCCAAAGATCGCTCCGGTTCAGCCTTACCAACTGGAGGGACAAGAGCTCTTAGCAAACGGTTATTAAGGCTGGCACGTGCACACATGGGTGGTATGGTCAGAATTTATGCCTGGCTGTATTTGTCTCCCTCGTAGAAATGTTTACACACTGCACCAGGTGCTCATTTGAGTGTGGCTCGACATTCATACACGAAGACAAAGATCCCCCGTATAGCCTTAACAGACTGTTTGGGCCAGGTGCTGTTCGCGAGCACCTATTAAGGCTGGCACGGCCGACATACGAGGAGGTGGGCGGCCAGGACCACGTCCGGCCACCTCTGCCTACCCAGTGGCGATGTTCACACACAACACCATGTACTCATTTGAGGCTGAGTCAACCTAGGAGAGGCCCAGGACCTGTTCAGATCATCGTCACTGGTGTGCATGCACAATGCATTGCTATTACCCTAGAAAGCACTTGATACGGTCTCGGTTCATGCGAGTGGACGAGCGGATCGCGCACTCGGTTGTGCACACGGCGGGCTCACTGTGCCGCCCTGCGCTTTCCCTCCTCATTACAGCTGCCACGGCTCTGGATCCCACAGCTGTAGCGCAGTCCCCTCGCCGGCAGGGAGGGGTGTACGAATCCAGCAAGCGCCCTCTTGGCATTTTAGAGATCTCCTACGAACCCCTGAAGCCTTCTGCAGACCCGCCCCACTCTCATGGGGTCTCATGACCCCATACACGTCCTCAGGGAGTCCGCAGGAACCACCCTGTTAAGAACACCCGGTAAGAGTTTCCCAAGTGGCTCTGGGGTCAGAGCACTGAGCATGCGTCCATTGTTTCTGGGTTCACCTGTGATTAAACAGGGGTCTCGAGTATAGCGAGTTTATGGTCTGGGCACAAGCGACCAATGACGGCAGAAAAAGATCCACGTCGCATCAAGTTACAATTTAGTTTGTTTACTTAACTCAGAAAAATATTTAAGCTCTGAGAATTTAAAAACATATTTGCGCCACAGGGGCAAAAGCGCTCACACTTATTTAGTGTACTTGCACGGGCGACAACACTGATGAAAAATAAAATATTTCATTGGTGTCGATTGCCACCTGATAAGAGAGACTTCTATATAAGAGAATGCGGAAAAGTACAGCGCTCCCTGGCATGCGGATAGGAGGTCACTCAGAAGCAGTTACATGGCACCTCCTGCGTGCTCTTCTCTAGCACGCGGTGATGCGCTTGCAGCATCGGGAGATGTTTCGACCGGACACTTCTGTGTCGTGACACGATCGCCGACAGCAAAAACAGAACAACATTACGGAGAGAGAAAAAAAACAAATACAAACACGAAAATATTCTACAAAACAACTCCTGGTTTCAGACACTACGGCGTCTGTGGGGTCTCAGTGTCGCGTGCCCCAGGGGAATGTGACCTGGTAGCCCCCCCCCAAAGACCTCCAGCTCGCCTCCTCAGATGCTGTGCGTGCAAGCGCTTCTGAGCGTGATGGCTTTCCACACGGATTTTTATAATTAGCTCACATCAAGCAAATCGGAATACTGTATCTGACCGCAAAAAAAAACTGGGCCATTCCACCAAATACGAAAGCCTCGGAGCACAGCGTGATCTGATGGGCGAAAATCAAAGGCGCGCCCGTTATATTTTATTGTTGTTATTCATACCGTGGTTGCCTTGTTTTCTCATACGTTTGTTATTTTCACACACAGATTACAGAAAATACAGTGAGCTCATAAAGGCATTGGTAAGGCATGGGGGTTATTCAGGGGCACGTTTATGCTGATACATACAGTGAGGGAAAAAAGTATTTGATCCCCTGCTGATTTTGTACGTTTTCCCAGTGACAAAGATTTTCTGTTTGCACAGTCACATAGTCACTTTAAGATGTTTTCTTGTTCATGTTTTGTTTTTTGTTTGTTGCGGTTGCACTCGATTCAAGAGCCAAATGGCTCATAGAGCTATACCAAATAAAAACAATGGAACTATGGAACTATCAGTCTATAATATTAATGGTAGGTTTATTTGAACAGTGAGAGACAGAATAACAACAATAAAATCCAGAAAAACGCATGTCAAAAATGTTATCAATTGATTTGCATTTTAATGAGGGAAATAAGTATTTGACCCCCTCTCAATCAGAAAGATTTCTGGCTCCCAGGTGTCTTTTATATAGGTAACGAGCTGAGATTAGGAACACACTCTTAGAGGGAGTGCTCCTAATCTCAGCTTGTTACCTGTATAAAAGACACCTATCCACAGAAGCAATCAATCAGATTCCAAACTTTCCACCATGGCCAAGACCAAAGAGCTCTCCAAGGATGTCAGGGACAAGATTGTAGACCTACACAAGGCTGGAATGGGCTACAATACCATTGCCAAGCAGCTTGGTGAGAAGGTGGCAACAGTTGGTGCGATTATTCGCAAATGGAAGAAACACAAAAGAACTGTCAATCTCCCTCGAT